TCATAATTATGGTGGTATATATATCGACGCTGACGTTCTCCTTGTTCGTGACATGCGTCCTTTATACTATGCAAACTTTGAATTCTCTTATCGTTGGAGTTACTTAAACGAATATAATACTGCAGTTATACGTCTTTGGAAAGAGAGCCCATCTTCTGAAATGGTGATTCGTGGCGCTATAAACAATAATATGAGCTTTCATCCCTTTAACATTAGTAAATACTTGTCTACACATGAAAATTTTATTATTCAAGAAACCAATAAATTGATTTATATGCTTCCATCTGGATTATTTGATCCTTTATGGTTAAAACAGGATTCTAAACAATTGTCATCTGTATTATCTCCAAATCTTCATAAACTTACTGATGTATTCGATCCTAATATAATCTTTGACGAAATTTCTGGTCTTGATCCTTCAAAATTTGATGGATCACCTTTGGATATTCGAAAGATGGAAAACTTCTTTCGCGGTATTTTTACTTACCATTGGCATAATCAATGGGATGTTAAGATTAATCAAACATCTTGGATTGGCGTTATACAAACTGCTTATGATAATTTTTTGAGTGGTAAACGAAGAAATTTATATAATGAATATATCTTTGAATAATATTGATTTTTTCTGTTGAACAGGCAAGGCTTTATAAGTATTTAATTTCAATTAGGCAAAATTTTAATAAAAAATTTTATGAAATAAGTAGCTCTAAAAAATTTGCTATCGTTTTTAAAATCTTATATATTTTTCGAAATTTTTTTAATTTCGATACAATTTTAAAAATTTACTAATTACTAATTAATACCAAAACACTATAATTAAAGTGTTTTTAAAAAAAAATTGAGAAAATTAGCTTACTGGTAATATTTTTTGGATTACAATAAACCATGTTTTTTTTGCTAAGTAAACTAAACCTCATTTACTAAGTAAATTTGTTCGAAATGCCATCTTTTACTCACCCTCAAATTTTGGCGCAATATGAATAACTTTTTACGTTTCGGTGCAGTAAATTGATTTTCTGTGTCGAAACGTATAATGAAAAACCTAATAGTAAAAAGTTATATTGCAACAAAATTTGCGGTAAGTAAAAGATGACATTTCGAACTTAGTAAATGAGGTTCAGTTTATAAAAAAAAAAATATATGTTTTATTGTAATATGTTTAATTCGTCAAAAATATCACATTTACCATGTTAATGACGTCAAAATACCCACAGGGAAATTAAAAATTGTTGTTACGTAGAGATCATAATATAATTTGAATTTTTGTTTTTCTATATTGTAAAGCAGGTTCAAATTTACATAGTTCAGAAACAGAAAAATAAAACTATTTACAGACTTTTATTAGTAAGAAGTGGTAACTTCGTCAAAATACCTTCATTTACCTTATATTTAATTTTAAAACATATGTAATCCATTGCGGCGAATTTATGAAATACCCCAAAATTTGAAAAATTTGACCACTAAGTTATAAATATAGATTTTGGCTGATATAAGAAATTTTTCCCAAGCTAAGGTGCGTCGTTATAATAAATTTATATGTCTAATAAGGGTGGGGAAGATGGGTTA